TTGTGTTCTCCCTGCCTCTCTGGCTGTCTGGCGTCTGGCGAGTGCACGCGCCCTATAGCAAAACCTCTCCAAAAAAAAAAAAAGAAAGTCCAGCAACTTAACCATTACACCATCTGCTGGTCCCAAGAAGCATCTTTTAAGATACAACTGTGAGAGAGAATTGCATCCAAAGCTTCATGTTACAATTTTGAACTCATCTGTTTACGCTTCTCTGTTTATCCCCACTCCAGGCTATACTCTTCTCAAAGTCAAGGTTGGTGATAAAATAATTTTTTTTTTTTTTTTGGAGAGATTTTCACTGTAGGGTGCGTGCGCTCGCCAGACAGACAGAGAGAGACATAGAGACAGAAAGCGAGAAATCACCCCCCAGGGATGGTCACGCTGCAATCCCTTCTCCTCCATTCTCCTCTCGGGATCTTGGGCACGCACGCACACGCGCCCGGCGTGAGTTTTAAGCCACCGGGTCCGGGACGCGAACCAGGGTCGACTACGTGGGAGTCCAGAGACATAGCCATTACGCTAACTGCTGGTTCCCAAATAATTTTTGTATTTTTCGGCATACTAGTAAAGCTTTTTCATATCGAATTATGAGTTCTTTACCATGATTTTACTTCTTTAAAGCAAGGTCAATAAAGGCCATGGGGCCTGCAGCTGGGGTGGTGATTAAGGGCACTGGACTCCCACATGACTGACTGCAGTTTGAGTCCTGGACCTGGTGGCTTTCTCTCTCTCTCTCGCTCACTCTGCCCTTCTCTGGTCAAATTAAATAAATAAAGATAAAATAATTCTTTAAAAAACAAAAAAAAAGGCCATGCTGTTCATTCGTATTTAAGTCATTCTCTTGCTGGACTGAAGCTGTTAAGGCGACCATATCGTGAAACCCTTCCCTAAACTGCTTTATTTCCCAAGAGAGTAAACTCTTTTTTTTTTTTTTTTTGCCATACAGAGAGAGAGAGAGACAGAGAGACAGAAAGCGAGAAATCACCCCTCAGGGGGGATGGCCACGCTGCAATCCTTTCTCCTCCATTGTCCTCTCGGGATCTTGGGCACGCACGCACACACGCCCGGTGTGAGTCTAAGCCTCCAGGTCCGGGACTCGAACCACGGTCGACTACATGGGAGTCCAGCGATATAGCCATTACTCCAGCTGCTGGTTCTGGGAGTAAACTCTTTTCACCCAGAAGCCGAAGGCAGAACCTCTTCAACTCCAGAACCTCTTTGTCAGCTTTGAAATTGAAACCCCCCCCCGCCCCCCTTTTATTTCCTTATTTCGAGTATATCTGTGCCTTTTGGCTTCCATTCCTTTCTGGAAAAGGGTGAGGCCCGGGTACTATAATGAATGAGCATGCTCTTCCTTCCTGGTCTCTGCTAAGGGTTCCCCAAATTCCCACCGCCTCCAGAACACCTGCCCCCACCTCCCAGACCCCACATAGTGATCGCGCTGGTCCAGGCGCCGCGATCGGCGTTCCCCAGCTGTGGCTCCGGGTCCCCAGCAGCGCGAGGACTAAGCACAGCTCCGGAACGAACGGGCGCCTGCCCCAGTTTCACCGACCCACGCCGGGACGTTCTGACCGGAGCCGCCAGCAGGGTACC